AAAATCACAAAAGAAACGAGAATGTCTTGACAGTGAAAAACCAGCTGTTGTGGTTGCTCCCATCACAACAGGATATACTGTGAAAATCAGTAATTGCAGAAGGGATTAGTCAGATAAATTTGTGAAAATCTACATTACCTTAACTGGAGTTCATCAAGTTCCTGCTGAGAATGTGCAGGTGCATTTCACAGACAGGTCATTTGATCTTTTGGTGAAGAATCTAAAAGGGAAGAGTTACTCTAGGATTGTGAACAATCTCTTAAAACCCATCTCAGTGGAAGGCAGTTCAAAAAAAATCAAGACTGATACAGTTCTTATGTAGAAAGAAAGCAGAAAACACACGATGGGAATATTTGACTCAGGTTGAAAAAGAATGCAAAGAAAAAGAAAAGCCATCCTACTATGCTGAAACCCTAGTGAGGGATTAATGAATGTTCTAAAGAAAATTTATGAAGATGGAGATGATGATATGAAGTGAACCATTAATAAAGCCTGGGTGGAATCAAGTGAGAAGCAAGCCAAAGGAGACACAGGATTTTGAGACTTTTAAGTCTTTTTAAAAACTATTATGTGGAAATACTGCTATTTCCAATAAGGGAATGTTGGTGAGCTGCACGTATAAATTTGACAGATAACTACAAAGCCTTCAAAGTAAAGGCAATGAATTCTCCATTTCTTATTGGAAGATTCATTTAAGATTGCATATTAAACATTTCCTCCAAAGATGGTTTCATTATACCCTGGTCATTTTGTTTAAGGAAGGGTTATATGTTATTCTCATTGAAATATAAAAACCAAGTTTTTGGGCCAGGGATATAGCTCAGTGGTTCCACCGCCTGCCTTGCAAGCACAAGGACCTGAGTTCAATCCCCAGTACAAAAAAAAAACCCACCAAGTTTTGTTTAAAGAAAACAATACATTATGTGTGCTTTTGTTTGGCTAGGAAGTAGAAAACAAAAGTATTTGCTTGCCTGTAAGTTACAGATGTCAGCTCCCACTAATGTAAGAATAAAACTGAATTTTTGTATAAAATTTAAATTTGTGCCTGTGCTTCAAATTTGCTGTAGAATGGATGATCCCTTATTACCAGCTTAAGCAGTGCATATACCAGGGATTACCATGCACTAATAAGCCAATCACAAATGTTTCTCTCTAGATTTAATATATTTATGAACATAGAATTAAGAACAGACAGGCATCTTCATAGAGTAGCAGTTAGTAAGTTCTACCATGGATCAGATACTAATAACCATAAAGCAAAAATAGTTTAAAAATCCATCTATTCCTATATTCAATAAAGTTGGATTTTTATGTAAAAAAAAAAAAACAAACCAAAAAAATCCCTGCTATATAGATTCAATGCAATTCCAATTGAGATCCCAGCACCATACTTCGTGAACCTTGAGAAAACAATCCAAAAATTCATTTGGAACAAGAAGAGACCCAGAATACTAAAAGCAATTCTAGGTAACAGAAACATGGCAGGGGGTATCACAACCCTCAACTTGAAACTATACTACAAAGCTGCTGTGATAAAAACAGCATGGTACTGGCAAAGAAACAGACCTGAGGACCAGTGGAACAGATTAGAAGATCCAAAAATAACTCCAGACACACTAAGCCATCTCATCTTTGATAAAGGTGCCAACCAACCTCATTGGAGTAAGATAGCCTCTTTAATAAATGGTGCTGGAAAAATTGGGTTTCAACTTGTCAAAGACTAAAACTAGACCTATATGTCTCACTCTTATGGAAATCTTGGAAAGAAATACAGAGACACAGAATTAGGATAAAATAATAAAATTTCTTCTCGCGAGTGGACGGGAATTTGAGAAACCAAACTGATCAATATCCGCCCCCTTTGTTCAGCATTTCCCTTTTTATATCCTTTTTAGCCATTATCTCATCCCTAGTGGTCTTTGATATGTAAATACAATTCTAGTTCCTATTTACAAGTCACAGACACAAGATAGGCCATATACATTGTAAATTCACCCTGGCATGGTAACTTTGTTAGGTTAATGAAG